GCTAGGTTGCTCTTGTACCTGGTCGGCCCAGAGAACGTGGCACAGGCCCATGGGCTTTGCCCGGGTAAGCCAGGAAGCAGGACCCAGACAGAGAGAGAGAGAGATGGAGAGACCGGCGGAAGTAGATGGCCATCAGCCATTTTTGCGCAGAGGGCTCTTTGCTTCCATGAACTTTGGTTCTAGCAGGGCCTGGCTCAAAGTTCGAAAACGTTTTCTCGAAGGCTTTCATGGCCGGGACCTGATGGCTGTTGTGGGTTTTTCGGGCTCTTTGGCCGTGTTCTGAAGGTTGTTCTTCCTGATGTTTCGCCAGTCTCTGTGGCCATGGGCATCTTCAGAGGACTGGAGTCGGAACATACAGAGCACGGATAGAGTTCCGACTCCAGTCCTCTGAAGAGGCCCATGGCCACAGAGACTGCAGAAACTTTAGGAAGAACAGCCTTCAGAACACGGCCAAAGAGCCCGAAAAACCCACAGCATTTGGGTTTTTTGTTTTTGTTTTTTTGAGACTGCACCTCCTGAAACCTCCTTGCCAACATGGCCACTCTGTGACAAGGCGTTCTGGGAGTTGTAGTCTAACCCAGTACCTCTGGCAGGAGAAACTCCAGGAGCCTAGAGGTCTCCTTTGGCCCCCCTGTTTTCACTGGTAGGGTTATTTCCTGGAAGACAAGCAGAGAACACCTGCTTCCCCTTGGGGAGGTCACACGCCATCTTCTTCCGCCCTTCAAAAGGCAGCCTTCTGGCTCCCCAGCCGGCATTACCCCAACAGTTCTCGGGGGTTCTTGGGAGGTGGGGGGGGGAACCTTGGTGACCTTCATTCACTCCCCATTCAAGGTGGAATTTGCTCCACATTCAGGCAGGAAGAGCAGTGACTGAACTCAAGCAAAACTGAGCGCAGAAGGGTTTCTGTAGGGTGGTGATCCCACAACCTCAGTTACCTGTCCCAAATCCTTTAAAATACAGAGGCGGCCCTTTCTTTCTTTGCACCCTTCCCTGGAAGGGGCAGGGGAAGCATTAAAGAAAAAAAAGGGGGGGGAGGAAGGCCTCCTCCAGGTGATTTGGAAACCCAGCGTCCAGTTTCAGAGGCCAGGCGCTTCCCGACGTTGGAAGTAGACTTCCGCACCCTGCTTGTCTTCCTGGGGAGTACAGGGGAGGGGAAGCTTTGCAAGGGCCTGGTCCTCAAGGCTCTCCGAGATGCCCTTTCAATTGCAGGGACCCAATCCGAGCTGCGTCCTGCCTGGCTGAAAGACGGCCGAGACGGGTCTGTGACATCTGGCTTTCCTGCATCCGCCACAGGGCTGCCTCCCAAGGGCTCAGATCTGGACTTTCCCAAGCTGTGAGCCACACCAGGGTTGGCAAGGGGGGGGGATGAGAGCCACAGCCCCCACACCTCCGGGGGGGCAGCCGGTTTGGCTCCCGTCCTTTTGTCAAGGCTCCACGGCAAGCTCTCGTATATCGACCTGCCAGGACCCTTTCTAATAGTCATTCAGTAGAACAAACATAAACCCTGCACCACGACCCCCTTCCTAAAATCAAAAGGTGCAACTTGAATACAGGAGCGGACAGAGGCCAGGCAAGGCTCCAGAGTGCAGTTCTGTTATGCTTTGTGAGCTCACCCGTGGTATTTCTTCATCCCAAAGAACAGCTCTGCCGAGTTCAACCAAGCTAAGATCTACTTCTTAAAAAAAACAAAACACCCACCTGCCACTTGCTCCTTTTTTTGCCCCAGAATGTGGTAAGAACCACTTGGTGGAACTGATTCCCGGGAAAAAAACCCCCGAAACATAACAAAATCAGGCCATGTGCCTCCGTGTAGCCAAAGGGAGCCGTCCCAGCTGCGAAGGGGATCCACCCCACGGACGAAGGCTGCGTCTCTTTAGGACGGCCGGACACCGGGAGCCCCCAAAGGGGCAGGCGCTTCCACCTCTGCAGCGGCCCAGATGTGTCTCCCGTCCGTACCACCACCACCACCACCACCACCATGTCTAGTGACTACAGAGATGTTGTCCAAAACCTCGGAGGCAGGGTGTACCAAACCGGAGGTGTCTGTGTTGGGGATCTCCTGAGTCTATTCTGGCCATAGGTAGAAGACTGGACAAGAGAGCGGGAGTTCCCCCCTCCCCCCCTCCAGATACATCAGGACAGTTCCCCCCCCCCATTTAAACCAGGATCGTTGGGGAGGAGACAAGCGCTGAATCGCAGCCTGCGGTCTCCGGAGCAGACCTGCAGAAGACGCGGGAGTCCAGGCGCAAGGGAATGCTCCCTTCCCTTCCCTCCAGCCAGCACGCACCCATCCTGCCACCGGCTGAGGTTCCAGCACAGCCGTCCGCCACTCACCCTTGTTTGCGGTAGCCATCCGGGGGTCCCCAAGAGTTGTCCTGGCTCTGCAGCCTCCAACTTCAGCCTGATCAGCGAGAGGCCATCCTCAAGGGAGATGCAGCAGCAGCAGCAGGAGGAGGAAGAAGAACAGGAGGAGAAGCAGCCACCGCCTCTCTCTAAAACAAGTAGGAGGAGGAGAAGGAGGAGACGGGAGCAAAGAAGCAAGAAAGAAATGAGCCACAATAATCCCAGATCAGTCAAAGAAGACTCTGCAGGGTGGGGGAACCTTTGGTCCGATCCGGGCTCCAGAGGTTCCCCCTGGGTCCTAAGAGCTGACGGATCCGAACCCCCGGCCACTCTTTCTCCATCGGAGCCAAAGAGGACCAATTTTGTTGTACATTTCCAGTGACATGCGGTTTCTGCCCTGCAGAAGGGGAGGCTTATGGTGCAGCAAGGGGTGACAGCAGACTGCGGACACTTTTGAGATTCAGCAGGCAGCTCTCTTGCGCAAGCAGGTTTGCTTAACTTGTATGCCACACCAATGAGCACTGCTCCGGGTGGTTTGCCTCCAGAAGGAAGCAAACCTAACAACAACAACAACAACAAAATCTTAAGTCATATACACTACTAAATCCAGACACCGCATATGGACAAATAAGGCGGTTCATACCTAAAACCAGAACACCGAGCAATGGCCAATAAGGGGTATGATGATGGTCCATCCATGAAACATTAAGAAAGGATGCTCTCCATGGCAGGATTAGAATGGCCTTGCTCGGCGCAACCTCTTAAAAACAGTTCAGCCAGGCCTCCTTCCGTTGGTGGCTGATTGGGGGGGGGGTATTTATAAAGACATGCTTAGACAATTGTAATAGAGATTGTGCTCCCCCTTCCAAAAAAACCCACAACAACAACAACAACCACCCTCCACTATTTCCCAGGCTGTTCTAAACATGACAATAGCCCAATATCTACAACATGCAGAGCAAAGCGCCAGAATGCCACCGGGTGTTATCATTTTCCACTGACCGGAGAGAGAGAAAGAGAGAGATCATGCTTCACAAGGTTAGCTATCGTTGTCAACACGATATAGAACTGAAGTCTGGACTTCACTGAGACAGGTTAACCTCTCCCTCTGGGACAGAGCCAGAGCATGCTGCTTTGGTGCACTACAAGTCCCAAAATCCTCGGCCACCCCTGGGTGATGTCTCCCACGTATGTTCAGATTCAACACATCCCTCCCCCTCAGCAAAGGGAGCAGAAGTGGTAAGATCAGTGTTGGTTGGACTACAACTCCCAGACCAGCAACCATGCTGCCTGGAGAATTCTGGGAGTTGTAGTGCAAAACATTACAAATCCACACCTGGCTACTTATGAGCAAACTCTACGGACCAGCTTATCGATCATCCCAGCTATAAGTCTTTCTAGAAATGCATTCAGATCAGTGCTTCCCGACCTTGGGTCTCCAAATGTTCTTGGACTACAACTCCCAGAAATCCTGGCCAGCACATCTTGTGGTGAAGGCTTTTGGGAGTTTTAGTCCAAGAATATCTGGGGACTAAATGGTTTTGCACCATTGCATTAGAAGTCACAGTATCTACAATGCAAGGAGTCTGACTTCAAGGCCCAGCCCCAATGTTTGGCCAGGGTGATTTGATGCATTTTCTGCTACATCGTCCACTTTCTAGCTTGGTAACCACCAGCCAGATGCGGTGCCCTGTAGGACTCCGAAGTTCGTACGTTCTTGAGATGTTAGTGATTCAATGCATCCCTAGCTATGCAAAAACTCAGACGTTTCCCTCTCACAGACAAACCATCGGCGTTCGAGCACTCAGACACTCCAAATGCCGTGGGTGTTGTCAACTTTCCCACCTCAGAAGAAACCACAAGGCTCTCCTCTCTTACAGGACTCCTCCGAAGTCTCTCAGGCCACGGCAGGTCCTGCCGGTTGCTGGGATGTGCCTTAACAAAGAGATGCTGCAAGTATTCCTTTAAAAAAAATAACAGCAAGAAACCTACTTTGAGCCATTCATCTCTCCTCCAGCTTCTGCCAGCGGGGGGAAAAATTAGGACATTTCAGTGCAATCACATTCATGCTATATACCAGGTTTCTTTTTAAAAAGAAATATCTTAAGAGTTATACCCACCCGCATTAGAATTGCAGATTCTTAAAAACTGGGCAAAACAATCATCATCATCATCACTGTGTTCCATCAAGTCAGACAAGATAATACTCAGAAGTGGTTTTTACTATTCGCTTCCAGTGGGGGCGCTGTGGGACTGTGTGCAGCTGGCCCAAGGCCTCCCAGGCTGGCTCTTCTCCCAGGAGGGGCCATGGAGGAATCGAACTCAACTCACACAAATGCCCAGTGGGGAATTGAACACCCAACCTCTGGCTTCACCGCCAGAGACCTCAATCATTGTGCTCATATTCAGCCAGCATATAATCCTATGCCAACAAGTGAATCCTGGTTCATGGAGAGTCCTTTCCAGGGTTTTCCAGGTAGAGAATACTCAGAAGTGGTTTGTTTGCCATTCCCTTCTTCGAGGGAGTGCTCTGGGACTGTGTGCAGCTGGCCCAAGGCCACCCAGGCTGGCTCTTCTCCCAGGAGGGGCCATGGGGGAATCGAACTCCCAACCGCTGGCTCCACAGCCAGAGACCTGAACCCTTGTGCTCGCATTGAGCCGGCCAAAGAGAGAGAGAGAGAGAGAGGGAGTTGGGTGGAGAGAATACACAGGCACACCAATGTTCCAATATGAACACAATGGCCCGCAGGCTGAATCCTGAGACCAGCAGAGGAAATGGTCTTCGGAAGGGCCGGAAATCTCATTAGTGTCCATTTGAACCCGGAGTCTCTCGCTCTTGAGATGAGCGGTCCTCTTCTCCATCCTCCAAGCTGCCTCTTTTCTGGCATTCTGCTTTCCTTCCTCTCTTTCTATTTGGACTAAATGCGGGGGGGGGGAGTGTTTGATGTGTGATTTACCTTCTTTAAAACACCTCTGCCACTTCCCAAATGAAGTCGTTCATTTCACTCACATGAATAGACAAATATATACAAAGCAATTATAAAAATCACCCACTCACTCACTCAGTCATTTATTTATTTAACTTATGTGTCGCTCACACTATCCAAAAGTCTCTGGGCGGCTTCTCACGGATCTGAGATTTCCAGGTGTTTTGATTAACCAAGATTTTAAAAACTAAAAACTAGCTGAGGGAGACAAGAGGGCTGCCATGATGCTGAAGTCACGGGATCGACCGGATCACGATTTCAAAATCAAATGGTGGTGGAGGAGTACAAAGACAGACAAAGCAGGATCTCAGATCAATACCAAAGTATGCCAGCTTTTGAAACCACAGATCTTTTCATCAGGATCTAAACCCCTTTTCAAGTTTGATCCTATGAACCCCGCCCGGTGGCCCTTCGTTTGACACCAACTAAGGAATTGCCACCACCGTTTGATGGCCAGGGAGGGCAGAGTTTATCGTGATCGGCATCCAAACAGCCCTTCCTCAAGAAAACTGTGTCTCTTTAGGAAATCTTTTTGTAGAATATTCCAGAACTCCACGTCCCTGCGACAGCTTCTCTACTAAAGAGAGCATCGTCGGTTCTTTTGTTGACATGCTAATTTAACGCTTCCAGTTGGATGCCTTTCTCCAGATGACAACTTGACACGGGAAGTGCCACAGCGCTCAACTCTACTCCTTGGAACCAAACCGTGCTGAAAATAAGCAACGCTTTCAGGACAGACAAAAAACAAAACAAAACACACACACACACACAGAAAGTCGCACAAAAAAAAAAACCTGTTGCACTAAACAAGAGAAGAGCCGTATTGGACAGACTGCAGAGAAAATATGTCCCTTCAGCGCTGTTCGGAGGCTGTGCTACAATGGGTGCGGTTGAACGGGTTGATGTTGAACCCGGACAAGACGGAGGTCTTAAGGGTGGGTGGCCCCATCATCGACAGTTTGGGAAATTCCCTCTCTTTTTTGGGGGGGGAGTGACTCTCACCGAAAAGAGTGTGGTGCACAGCTTGGGGGTCTATCTGGATCAGGCGCTTGCCTTGGAATCCCAGGTAGTGTCCGTGGTCCGCACTGCGCATTTCCATCTGTGGCGGATCGCCCAGCTGCTTCCCTACCTTGATGTTGGGGATCTAGCCACTCTTGTCCATGCGCTCGTAATCTCGAGATTAGACCACTGCAATGCACTCTACGTGGGGCTACCTTTGAGACCGATGCAGAAGCTCCAGGTGGTGCAGAATGCGGTGGCCAGACTTCTTGGTGGGGTGAGAAAGTGCCAGCATATCTCTCCCACTCTGGCCACCTTGCACTGGCTGCCCATTCGTTTCCGCATTGACTTCAAAGTGTTCATGATGACGTATAAAGCCCTAAACGGTTTGGGACCTCAGTATTTGGCAAATTGCCTTCTCCCACCTAGATCTACCCGAATTACTAAGCATAGCCAGGAGAGACAGTTGAGGGGTCCAACGCCGAGAAAGAAAAAGAAACCGGGCCTTCTCGGCAGTGGCCCCTCGACTATGGAACAGCCTTCCAACAGAGATCCGCCTGGCACCCTCGCTGGATGTTTTTAAGAGCCATTTAAAGGCCTGGCTCTTTAGGCAGGCCTTCCCTTCTGTCACTTCTTGAATTCTATCTTCTTGTTTTCTATCATTCCCCATCTTGAACACACCATATTATTGATTTAATTGTTTAATGATTATGATGTTTTATTGTATTTTATGATATTTTATGACATTTGTAAGCCGCCCTGAGTAGACGCTGTCTAGGGGGACGGGGTAGAAATCGAATAGATAAATAAATAAATAAAGTCAGTGCAGGATCTTGCATTTTAAGGGGAACACAGGCTCCATCTGGAAAAGCACTGGGATTAGTTCTGAGTTTATTATGCTTATTTATATTGTCCTTGTAGGAACAAAGGTACGTTTAGAAGCTGTACTAGGCAGGAGAAAAATCAGTGCAATCTTTAGATCCCCTGATCTGATCTGCTCATCTTGAAACAGCATCTTTCCTTTATCAGCTTTAAAACAAAGGTAAATTTCCAAATGCATGTTTTATGAGTAAAGGGAAGAAGGCTGAAGTCATTTCCTGTGATTCCGTCTCTTACTTGCCTTAACGCTCCCTACGTGAGAAAAGGATGTTTTCTACCCGGAC